TAGTTGTCCACGAGGGGTAGTTCCGTTGAAAAATTTTGTTACTTGATATAAATCTAGAATTGCGTATTAAAAATAAAAAATAAGAAACGAAAAGAATATTTTTTTTGTAATTACGATAATGTTTTATACGCGTGTTTTGTCCACAAGGGGTGGTTTCGTTGAAAAATTTTGACACTTGATATAAATAACAATGATAATAATAATCTAGAATTACCTATTAAAAATAAAAAATAAGAAACGAAAAGAATATTTTTTTTGTAATTACGATAATGTTCTATACGCAGTGGTTCCGTTAAAAAATTTTGTTACTTGATATAAATCTAGAATTGCTATTAAAAATAAGAAATAAGAAACGAAAAGGATATATTTTTTTTATAATTACGACAGTGTTCTAAACTTATACAATGCACTTGCTGTTCAGATCTATCAGGCAAGCTGACATAAAATAGCTCTCCAGTTGGAGATCACTCTTATGGTTCTTATGTATTGTAAGAATTTAATCTCTGCAACAATAGTTCACGCTTCGTTAAGTCTCAGGCCGCATCCACTTCTTGAATTTAACATACGACGTGCGGTCGTTTATCCGTATCTAATTTAAATAATATAATCAATATAAATAACGAATAAGACAGAAATAATACAGTAGACAAACATATCTATACAAATCATATTACCTGTATCACATCACCACCTGTAGAGCTGAAAGCGATATAGAAATTCCAAGCAGGAAAGCGAATTCACTTGTTGATTTTAGGAAACTCCAGGGAAAACGCACACCAGCTGCAACTTGTTGCTAAACCGGGAACACTCACACGGCGAACTCATTCTCGTTCGATCTTCCGGCTGCTTCTCGACCAATTCCGATTCTTCTCGACTACATACTTCTCGGCTCCCTTCCACGGTTGCTCAATTGCGGCGCGGCGTCGAGAAAACGGCCAAAGACGTTCACCAATTCCGACCTAGAACGAGATAGAAGGCCTGTCCGCGACAGACGCTCCTTTATCTCGCTATTCCTATCTGCTGCGTAATTAATTCGAGAAGGAAAACGGATCGCGACAGCGGCAGCGGTGACGGAACCGGTAACGGAAGTGGCAGCGGTATTAGCGATAGCTCCCTCCACCAGATTCCTTTCAATCTTTTCGAACAATCTGTTCGCGATTTCTATTTTATATATTCTCACAATTTGTCCTGACTAGAAAGAATTCGATGCAATTCGAGCGGTTCGAGTCAAAGCGTTGACAGTAATCATAAGACCGATGCCTGGATAAAATCTCGCGACGAAATCCCGGATATCATAGGATTACAGAAAAACTCACTTAACCGGTAATTGTCGAAGAATCTAGGTCCGAAGAAACGCTCTGGCATTCACTCTATCCGTTTCTTTCCTCCCTTTATTTTATCCTCCTTCTTTCCTTTCACGTATACACTTTTATAGACATATCTCTTATCAAGTCATAACTTGATGTAACGATCTTCTGGAGATATTGCGACTAACGATTTATAACCGAAAATGCTGTACTTATCGATCAGAAGGATTAAAAAAAAAAGGAACACAGCGAACGAACGGAGAGACGTGATCATCGATAGGGAGGCCAATAAGATTTATCGAACGCAGCTCCTGCAACTATCGTCGACGAAGAGAAACGTGGTTTTCTTTCTTTCGGCCAATATTCGAAGAAGCAGAAGTGTTTGTTCGTACGCACACCGCGACCGCTAATATCTAGATATTTTCACGATTCAATTAAAAATATTTTCAATTCAAAATATTATAAGTCTGATATTACTCATTTCATCAATTAAAACGTTTCAATTCAAAATATCATATACAAGTCTGATATTACTCATTTCGATTTGACGAAATCTTCTTCTTCTTCTTCTTCTTCTTTTACAGATATTCAATTCGCCATGAATCGAAACACGCGAGAAACGTTTTAACTCGAACGATCGATTACATCGAAACCCTTTCTCCTGTCGACTATGCTTTTTCTTTCTTATTCTTTGCACGAATTGACTCTTTACGCCTATTATTCCTCTTTCTTTTTTGTTTTAACTTATATTTCATCTTTTCGATCGAGAAAAAAACAATCGAAAAAAGATGTGAAAATTGATTGATTGGTAGATATAAGGCAATCGTTTATTCGATTAGCCATCTATTCGTATTCGCTTAAAAACATTGATATAATGTCCATTGGATCAACGAACCAGCGAATGAACGGATGAAGAGAAGAAAATGGTGCATCTTGGATGATATTCTTCGTTTTATAAAACGAGTTTTAATTCATACTTCGAACCATGGTGAAAAATGAGGCAGCGGTGGATATCATCTAAAAAAAAAAAAAAGAAAAATATCAAAAAAGGGAGAAGAGATGGAGAAAGAAAAAGAAGAGAGAATGAAATACAGAGGCAAATGTTTCCAGTGAAAGCCCGATGAATTTTCCAGCTGTTAAGCGAACTGCTTTTTGACTTCTGACCATAAGTATATTCGTTATTTTCTGTAGATTATAGGAATATCCATACCAAGGCATTGAATATGTGGCTCGGCTAATATCTACACTCTGAAAAACGGAAAATGTATTGAAAAAAAAATCAATATTATCGTTTAATACGATTTACCTTTGAAAGAAGAAGATCCGCCGGCCAATTACAAAGAAAAAGTTGAATAATGAGGATTATGAGTTGCGTGATATATTTGAATTTGTCTGGAGTGTCCTGTTTACCAAATATACAACGTTATCGTAATATAAAAAGATAATAAAAAAAAAAATAATAAAAAATAAAAAATACTTACTTCAAGCAATTTAAAGCCAACCAATGAAATATTATATGTACTAGCGATTACTTGAATAAAAAACATTCCGCTCGTCAGATGTTCAATGTCCTCACAAAATCTACTTGATAAAGAACGAAAGATAAAAATATACAGCGTTAGGAAATAGAATAAAGATAAATAGAACATATGAATCGTACTCACTTCAATAATAATTGATGATGAATTACGCATATTCGCAAATTTTTCATTTGTACACTGTTTGATGTCTCTGTTTTAATATCCGACATTTTCGCTGTCGTTATTTTTCTTGATAATATATTCAACAACGATAACGATGACGACAACGATGTATCGAACGAGTGTAAATTTTCAATTCTCGATTGAATCGTATCGAAGTAACCACAAGTGATTAAAATGAACAAAGCACCGACAGTATCCACACCAACACAAGTAAAACCGACATTAAACATGCTGATTAACTGAAGAGCATAGACGATCTCGTACCATGGTGTTTTCTGTACATCAAGAAAAAATGCATACGGTAAATGTCGCTTGTTCGTTGATTCCAAAATCACATTTTCGGCTTCCGACGGAACGAGGCCACTATCGTTTCTCATAATATGTTCGAAATCTTTCGATTGATCGAACAAAGATCCGAAAAGAACCAAAAAAGCATAAAACGCGATAGTGAGAACACAAGAGGCCAAATACCAACGTGTCAATCTTGTCGTTTTTCTTGTATAACTTTGAACGATTTTTTTCTCATGCGGCTTCAGATTAGACCAGAAAATCTCACAAACATTTAACATTGTTTGGCAAATATCACGAAACCATAATAAGATCGTATATCGCGCGTGACCACCTACAATTGAAATGATCATCGCGACTGATTCGAGAGCAGTGGTCAGATTAGTGGTATTTGTTATGAATTCATGCACGTATGAAATACTGTAGATTGTTAGACAACTGAACGCGAGCCAGGCCAAAATATTTCTATTTGCGAATCCATCTCCGCACGAAACAATACCACACAATTTCAGAAGAAACAAATTCAAATCGATCGTTTTATCGAATTCGCGTTTCGTTTTCTCGTCGATCATACCTAGCTTTTGTTTCTTCGAACTTTACCGAAATTTCTCCTGCCTCGTGATTTCTCGCTGGTCTTTCTTGATCTAGCAAAGTTCGTGAATAATTTCTTTCTTTCTTTCTTTCTTTTGTGCTTTCACAAAAAGTTAATAGAACGCGTGGGAATGTACAACTCGTGTTCACAAACTCAACGTCAACAGATAACGGTGTAACATTAGACCCGAGATGCGGGAAGGGGCATTTATTCGGACACCTATTATTATCGACAGGGAAGTAAAGTCAAAGTTTTCCGATTTTGTGAAATTTCATATAAAACACGCAAGATCGCGTGGCATTGCATGCGAGCCCAACGTTACAAAAAAAAGTGCTACAGATTCAAAACCGTATAGAATCATGAAATTGAGAAACAATCTTGTTCACATTTCATACGTAATCTCTAAAATGATAACATATACATATCGTAATAATTTAAGGATGCAAATACATTTGAGAATAAAACTTTTAAAAATTATTTTTAAAAATATTTTTCATAAAAAAAAAGTGTTTCGAAGAAATTATTCAGTTGAATAACATATTAAATAAGTTGACGAGAATAACGATGGTTGAATCTTTTTTTATGACTATATACAGAAATACGAGAAGAAAAAACGAAAAGAATCAGAAGGAAAAAGGTGGATTTGCGATTTATCATAAAAAATGAGAAAAAGATATTATCCATGGAGGAAGAATAACATACATAGTTATCGACGTAGACGTCGATGGACAAGAACAGTGGCGCTCGAGCAACGACGTCCGTTTCCGACGAGGGATGGCGGAACGGAAAGATCGATCGAGTCTCCGTAGAAATCGCACCCCCGTGTGAACGTAGCCGCATGGAACGAGAACGACGTGTAAAGTAGTGGTGTACATGAAGAGGAAAAGCAGAGAAGGGTGGGTGGAGTCGCGATCGCGCGGTCGCGCGTTCGCCCTGCTCTTCTAGAAAGCCATTGCGATCGCAGTTTCAAGCGATAGTCACGCGAACGGTGATCGAATTGACGCGAAAAACGCAAGGAAAAAAAAGGATAAAGAAAAGAAGAAAGAAAGGGAGGAAAGAAAAAGAAAAGGATAAAGGGAAACTGTGTATCGAATGAAATAAATTCTGCGACAAATCGCAATGAATCGTCATCGCTACTCCCATCTCGTATTTCTCTCGATCTATTCTGACACGCTTCTCGAAATATGATCGGGTCGAACGCCAGACTCGTGCGGTCGTAAAATTGTTACGCGACCCTGAAACCTTGGAAGACGGTGGACCTACGTAAGTAAAGAAAAGAAGCTGATGTTTGTCGGTTGATCACTGATACGAGAGAGCATCGTTTCCTTTTCCAGACCATGGCTACCGACTTCAAGTCCATATCTGAGCCTGAGCTTTTGTCCCAGACCTGCTACTCTGATCGATACAGTCCAACCTCGCTGATTCTCTCTTTCTCCCTCCTTCTCTCTCTCTCTGTCTCTCTCTCGCTTCCCTTTTCTACGTATATGCGCGTACTAAACCCCTACCATTCTCTTTGTATTTCCACGAGGTTTCCCTTCATTCGTCACCCTTTCTCGTGTTTCCAACTTTTCATCCCCATGACACTGTTGTCTCGCGACCCACATTGTTTTCATCTTTTCTGTCTTTTCTAGTATCATATTATTCCTTCTTTCTATTCTCGCACGCACATTCAATCATTTATTCATTCACTCATTCTCTCACTCCTCTACCCTTCTATACATATATATATATATATATGTATATGTATAATGAGAAAAACGATCGCAGTTAAGGAACCGCAAGGCGGCGCAAGAAACAGAGTTTTCCGGTTTACCTTGAAACTGGCGCGTGACCGAGTAGAGTCCAGTTGTTTGCATTTGCGCGTGAAGTGAATTAGTCGTCTCACGATACGTAACGGCGTATGCAAGCGTATCGTTAGCGACCCGTTCGCGTTGCTACACGTAATCATGAGTATTCGTGTTGTATTTGTGTTCCCGCGAGAAATAGTGGATCGGTAGAGTTGGTAAAACCGAACACGTTCCATTGTTACCGAGGGTAAAAAAGTGCTGTGACAGAATCTTGACAACACCTTGGATACCGAAGTGGCGCAAAAGTGTATAAAGTTTCAAGTTTCGTTTTGAGATTCTGATCTGAGAGAGATAAGAACAAGGAGGAGCGTAAGAGGGTGAGAAAAAAGAAAGGAAAAGGAAGAAGGAAAGTGAAGGAGGGAGGGAGGTGGGGGAGAGGGAAGAGGATGGAGAAGGAGAGAGAAAAGTGAAATGCAACGGACAAGAAAGAGAAGAGAATACGATGCGGAGTGTTCGAGACGATATAGAATAGCCGCGGTTGAAGGCATGAACGAGATTGGCGAAAACAAAGATGCGGTCTAAGCAAACGTCAAGGAGCAAAAAGGAAACGAGAAAGTTTAAAGTATTTTATCGTTGCTCGTGCTGCTTCTGTGTCGAGTAGCTCGCTATTTCTCTCTTCTTCTCTTACGATATTCCACCGCTTCGTAAGAAGGAGATATCGCAGTTAACTTGCTCACGGATATCCGCATTGTTTCGCGTCAACCAGCTAACTCAGCTGACCTATATTGGCTAGGTACCAAGCAAAATGAAATATCGAGCCACTCGATGTTCATCTGCGGAAAATCACTCGCGATTCCTACAGAGAGACTCGTCGTCGTCGTCGTCATCGCCGTCGTCGTCGTCGTCGTCGTCGTCGTCGTCGTCGTCAACAACATCGTCATCGTCGCTATCAAAACCGGTACGGTTCGTCGATCATTATAATTAATATAATCTCTATTAACAATTCTTTTGTTCGTCTTTTTCCGTTCACTTTATCGAAATATTCAAAATGACATACCATCGAGAACCAACGTGTGCAACTTGAAAAAATTCCGCGCGCCAATTATCAATTAATAATATTGTTATAACTATTAAAACGAATTCAATCACGTTCATTTTCTTTTCTTCGTTTGTTTTCTCTTTTGTTTTCTCTGGAATAACAATTAGTCGGAAGCAATGATTTTTTTTTTTCTTTTTGTTTTTAACACGTGATAAAATTATACGACGCAGCAATGAAAAAATAATATATGATAATCAGCGATCAAGGTCAATCAAGTAAGCTATCAGACATCAGAAATGTTTTTGATTGATGGCATCATCTGCTAATGCGATTAACTCTCCGCTCATTCTCTTCCTCCCCTTTCTCCTTTTCCTTCTCCTTCCCCGTTACCTCCGCCACTTCTTCTCCTTCTCCACTTCCTTCTCCCCTTCCAATTTTCTACAAGTCCGCGTGCCGTACTAAAAATAAGTTAATGTTGAAGCATCGTCTTTCGTGCATGCTTCTATAAAAAGAAGAAAAATCGGCGGAAAGAAATTGTCGTCGGTCCGCTCGAAGGCGAGAAAACACGTTCTCCTCTGTAACTTTCATGACGTTCCGTGAAACCGATCGGGAGCTGGTAGCAAAGACCGGAAAAAACCGGCACACGAACACCCGAGGAAAAAAAAGAAGAAGAAGAAGAAGAAGAAGAAGAAGAACGATCGATTAATCGTGGTTAGAGAATTGGTTTTTTTATCGGTGTGTACTCTCTATTGCGCGATTTATAGTTCTACTCTTCGCCGCTACGAATCAACGGTAGGTATATATACATACACAGTGACAAAGCAACGAACAATACGAAATATCGACGAAACGATAGCACCGAGTCGACACATTGCGCTCTGGAAATTAAACTCTGATTTCTAGCGGCCGATAATAACTGAGATTTCAATACAGTAGTAAACGCCCCTCTTTCGACGCGACTCTTTTAATCTTGCGTTTTATGCTGGTAAACTATTATTACCAACGAATTCATTCCTTCGTTGTCATTCTCGTCATGGTCGGAATCGTAAAATATGAGAAAGAACAAGTATGTGAACGGTATAGTTCTCTTTTTTTTTTTACCAACCAATTCTCGCATACTTTTCTTTTTTTCGCAGATTTCGTCGAAATGAGGGACCATCCGTCGCGCCTTTTCTCCGATACGAGGTAACGAGATTAATTTTTTTATGTAAGAAAAAAAAAACAATATAAATTTATAACCAAGCAATTAATCAATGTCTTTCTTCTTGCAGACCGGACGCGTAGAAATGCCAGAATGAGAGGTAAATGAGAAAATGTTAATTCATTACAACATGATAATGAAGTACGCGTTCGCGCATATATTTATTTTTATTTATTATTATTTTTATTACTTTTCTTAACTACCTTTATCTATTCCCGCATTTGTTGCGTAGGAGTGGCGTTTCTGGGGACGATCAGATCGGTTCGCGGAACTTTCCTGAGGACGCTCGTCTTCGTCTTCATGGCAACGTTCCTGTGGCTTCAAATCCATGTGATCAGCCTGACCGGTCGAGACTCCTCCGGGCAAGCTTCGTCAAACGAGACGCTGTTCGCCCTCGTACCGCAAGAATTACATAGGTAAATCGGGCCGTGCAAACGCGCGTGTTTCCGCCGAGAAGTCGTTTGTACAAAGGCAAAGAAAA